AGCAGGATAAGTGCCAAAAACCTAGATGCAGGCAATTATATTCAAACTTCAGAAAAATCAAAGACACAGAAAAATTCTTGAAAAAAAGCCAGAAGGCAAAACTACCTTACTTAGAGAGGAGCTTAATTTCTACCTTACTTAGACAGGAATTATATCCAACTTACCCTCAGAAACTAAGCAAGCAAAAGGAGAGTAGAGTTAAATATTTAAAGTGTTGAGAGAAAAATATAACCTAGAATTCTGTGCCCTGAGAAATGATCCTTCAAAAATGAAGGAAAGAAAGACTTTCTCATACAAAAATTGAGGAAATTTGTTGCCAGTAAACTTGACTGGAAAGAAATGTTAAAGTTCTTCAGAGAGAATGAAAAATGATATAGGTCAGAAATTTGGATCTACATAAAGAAAGGCAGATTATCAGAGAAGGAATAAATGAAGGTAAAATAAATATTTTTTATTTTCTTGTTCTTATTGATTTACCAGATAATAGTTCATTCACAATAGTTACAGCAATATATATATTTTATTCTACATAATTAAATTATTTATAATATGCTTATGTATGCTTTCTTATAAATAAAATAAATGACAGAAATGATACCAAAAAAAGGGAGAGGGAAATGAGGACTATTTGCTAGTATAAGATACTTGCATTGTAAAGTGGTAGAGTATTATTTAAAAGTGGACTAGGATTAGTTGTCAATATATATTGCAAACTCTGGGGCAACCACAAAAAAAATTGAAGAAGAAAAATGGATAGGTAAATATGCTAAGAAAGAAGAGAAATAGGCTCATAAAAATACCCAATTTATAGATGGCAAAAAAAGAGCAGAAACAAAGGAAAAGGGTGATGAATGGAAAATAGTTTAAATGGAGATATTAATCCAATTATATAACTAATTATTTTAAACAACAATGGTATAAATATACTAACTAAAAGACACATTGCCAAAGTGGATCCAAATGTAAGACCCAACTATGTGTCATCTATTAGAAATTCACTTTGAATAAAAAGACCCATATAGCTGGGCGTGGTGGTATACACTTTTAATCCCAGTAGCTCTGGAAGCTGAGGCAGGAGGATTGCAAGTTCAATGCCAGCCTCAGCAAATTAGCAAGAACCTAAGTAACTTAGCAAGACTCTGTTTCAAAATAAAAAATAAGAAAGTCTGGGAGGTGTAGCTCAGTGGTTTAATGTCCCTGGCTTTAATCCCTGGTAAAAAAAAAAAAAAAAAAAAAGACCCATATAGGTTAAAAGTCCAGGAATAAAGGAAAATATACCATGTTAACACTAATCAAAATAATATAAATCAGTGCTTCAAGAAGACATACACATCATTAATAAATGAATCCACATTTGTAGTTGGAGACTTTAGCATCCCTCTAATGAGAAATAGATAGATCCTATAGCAGGCAGAAAAATCATTAAGGGTATGGTGGAATCCACCATCAATCAATTAGATTAATTAACATCTATAGACAATGTCATCCAAAAACAGTAGTTCATATATTCTTCTCAATCTTACATGGAACATTCACTAAAATAAACTACATTCTGGACCATGAAACAACTTAACATTTTTAAAGAATAGAAATTATACAATGACTGTTCTCAGACTATAATGGAATTACAGTAGAGTCTAATGACAGAAATAAAGATGTAAAACATCATCCAAATACTTGGGGACTAAATAACCCATTTCCAAATAAAACATGTGTCAAAGGAAACATTTCAAGAGAAATTTGAACTAAGTGAAAATGAAAATAAAATCTTTCAAAATTTGTGGGAGGCCTCAAAAGCAGCTTAAAGGGAAGTTTATAGTATGGAATGCATATATTAGAAAGAGAAAAAGATCCAAAATCAATATTCTAAGCACCCTCCTTAAGAAACTAGGAAAAGAAGAGCAAATTAAACCCAAAGCAAGCAAGTAAACAGAAGAAAAGAAATTTAAAAAATTAAAGCAGGAATAAATGAAATTGAAAACAAGATATCAATAAAGATAATCAATGAAACCAAAGATGGATATTTTGAAAAAATTGAAAAAATATATAACCTCTTGTCAGGGTAAGTAAGAATTAAAGAGAGGACACACATTATGAATAATAGAAATGAAAGAGGGCACATCACCACAGGTTCCAAGGATATAAAAATGATAATAAGGGAATACAATGAACAACTCTATGCCCACAAATTTGATAACCTAGCTTAAATCGATCAAGCCCTGACAGATTCAATCTTCCAAAACTCATGCAAGAAAAAATACAATTTACCAGATAAAGGTGTCTGGTAAATTCTGTGAAACAAAGAAAAAATTAAACCAATTTACTACAATCTCTTCCAGAAAAAAGAACCAGAGAAAATAGTTTCTTATTCATTCTATGAGGCCAGCATTACTTACTTTAATACCAAAACCAAAGAAAGATGTTACAGAAAACTATAGATCAGTATCTCTCAGGAAAATAGATGCAAAAATTCTTAGTAAAATATTAACAAAGCCAAATACAACAGGGTATAAAAATTATAACAAGATGAAATTCATCTGATATATAAAAATATGTTTCAGAATTTAACAAACACAAAAATCAGCCTGGCATTGTAGCATATGCCTATAACCCCAGAAACTTGGGAGGCTGAGGCAGTAGTATCACAAGTTCAAGGCCAGCCTCAACAATTCATTGAGACTCTGTCTCAAAATAAAAAGGGCTGAGGATGTGGTTCAGTAGTTAAGCAACTCTGGGTTCAATTTCTGATACCAATAAAAAAAATCCCAATTAATGTAATCTATCACATCAAGAAAGCAGATGATGTACTGCCTCAGGTTGAACCCAGAGCAATGCAGTCAGCTGACCACAGACTGAGACTTTTGAAATCCTGAATCCCAAATAAACTCTTCCTCTTCTAAGTTGTTCTTTTTGACTAAAATAAGTGATAATTATAATATCAGTGAATTTTCATCAGTTGCAGTAAATGTACTTCTCTGGTGCAGGATGTAGATGGTGGGGAGGCTGCACTGGTGTGGGGGATAAGCAGTATATAGGAACTTTGTACTTTTCAGTTGGTTTTGATGTGAACCTAAAATTAAAATTTTTAGCTGGGAGTGGTGGCACACACCTGTAATCCCAAGTGACTTAGGAGGCTGAGGCAGGAGAATCACAAGTTTGAGGTCATCCTAGGTGATTTAATGAGATCCTGTTTCAAAACTTAAAAAAAAAAAGGATTGGGATGTATCTCAGTGGTACAGTTCCCCTGGGTTCAATTCCTGGTAGCACAAATAAAATAAAATAAATAAGCAAAATAAGAAAGAAAGAATAACATTTATTATTTGTAAAAGTTTGAAAAAATGGACAGAACATCATTCAAGCAAACTAATATGTGTATAACTGGAGTATCTAATAAAGGGTCAAAAAATATTTGAAGAAATAATTACTCAAATTTTCAAAATTTGAAGGACTATAAAGTCACAGATTTAAGAAGCTCAATAAACTCCAAACCGAAGAAACATAAACTACATGGCACATTGTAACTGAATTGATGAAAAAAGTAACAAATTAAAAAATCTTAAAGCAACCAAAGGAAAACATTTCTCTTATGTACAGGTAAGCAAAGATGAAGATGATAGATTTTTTGGTAGAATATATTGAAATTTTGTTGGGTACCAATTAATTGGTAGAAATTTGTCATATTGGATTTAAGAAAGCATGACCATGTGTGCTTCCTAGAAGAAAGTTACTGTAAATATAAAATCATAAATATTTCAAAAATAAATCAAGAGAAAGCTGGAGTGTCTATATTAATATCTATCAAAATGGTTTTCAGAGCAAAGAAGGAATAAAGAATGAAGAAGTTCATTTTATAAGGGAAAAGAAAATAATCGAGGACATAATAATCATAATAACCATAAGTATTTATATAACTGAGAGTAGAATTTCAGAAAACATGAAGCAAAATCTGACACAACTACAAGTAGAAACAATTCTCCACAATTACAAACAAACTCCACAAGTACAGTCAGAGATTTCAATAATTCCTCTCAAAATTCATCAGACATATCGAGTGATAATTGGAAAGGATAGAGAAAAACAGCACCAGCAACCAGCCTGACCTAATGGAATGGAACTCTTTATCCCATAATAGCAGCATACCTATTATTATTATTATTATTTTTAAATATTTATTTTTTAGTTTTAGGTGGACACAATATCTTTTATTTTTATGTGGTGCTGAGAGTCGAACCCAGTGCCCCACATATGCCAGGCGAGTGCGCCACCACTTGAGCCACATCCTCAGCCCCAATTATTTTCAAGGGCACATGGAACATTTACCAAACTAGATCATGGCTTCACTGGCTTCAATTATATCAAACATTTAAGGAAGAAATACCATCGAGGGCTGGCTCAGTTGTAAAGTGCTTGCTTAGCATGTGTGAGGCACTGGGTTGGATCCTCAGCACCACATAAATAAAGTTATTATGTCCATCTACAATTAAAAATATTTATTAAAAAAGAAATACTATCTATCCTGTACAAACTTGTTGTTTTAGTCAGCTTTTTCACTGAGGTGACTAAAAGACCTACCAGAACAATTGTAGAGGAAGAAAAGTTTATTTGGGGGCTCATGGTTTCAGAGGTCTCAGTTCATAGACAGCTAGCTCCATTCCTCAGGGCTGGAAGAATCAATCAGAACATCATGGCAGAAGAGAGTGGCTTAGGGAAGCAGCTCACTTGATGATCAGGAAGCAGAGAGAGACTACACTGCCAGATACAAAATATATACCCCAAAGCCACACCCCCAATACCCACCTCCTCCACTACACCCTACCTGCTTCAGTTACCATTCAGTTATTAATTCAATCATTGGGTTAAGGCTCTCATAACCCAATCATTTCTCCTCTAAACCTCCTTCTATTGTCTCACACATGAGATTTTGGAGGATACCTCATAACCAAATAATAACAAAACCATTCAGGAAATTTATGGAGAGGAACCACTCTCAGTTTGTTCTATGTGGCCAGCATTATCATTTATTGAAACCAGAGAAAGACATTAGAATTTTAAAAATAATGACATCAATAACTGAAATTATAGATCAATATTCCTCATAATCATAGATGTAAATATTCTTAACAATATTTTAGCAACTTAATTACAATAATATAAAAGAAGCATAATGCATCATGATTGTGGGATTCTTCCTAGCAATGCAGTCTGAGTTTAACAGCCAAAAACCAATCAATAAAACCATTAAACATTATTCTGGAAGTTTCTGTGAGGGTGTTTTGAGATGAGATTAACATTTAAATGGATAAACTTTGAGTAAAGTTCCCATCTCCATAACGTGGGTGGGCTTCAATCAGTTGAAGGCCAATCTGTCCTGAGCAAGATGGAATTCTGCAGCAAAAAGGCTTCATATTTGAATGGTAACATTTGTTCCTTTCTGAGTTCCCATTCTGACAGCTATTAGACAGCAGCAGTAGCTCTTTTCTGGGTCTCCAGACACCCTCCAGATGTTGGAATTGCCAGTCTCCACAATTTCTCCCGCTGCCCACACCCTTTATAGTTTTTTAAAAATATTTTTTAAGTTGTCAATGGGCATTTATTTATTTATTTATTTATTTATTTATTTATTTATTTATATGTGGTGCTGAGAACTAAACCCAGTGCCTTACACATGCTAGGCAAGTGCTCTACCACTGAGCTACAACCCCAGCTCCCCTCTATTGGTTTTGTTTCTCTAGAGAACTATGACTAATACAATATTCTTGTTCATTAATTATAAGACTCAATATTATTCTCCCCCAAATGAATTGATAATTCCTATGAAAATTTCAGCTGTTCCACTCCAAATCCCCCCCAAGAAAAGGACAATCTAAGATATATAGGGAAATGCAAAGGATTCAAAAAGCTAACATAATCTTGAAAAGATTAAAATCAGATGACATCTAATTTCAAAACTTACATCTTAATTGTAGTAGCTTTGTAGCAAGTTTTAAAATCCTTTGCGTAAGGATAGACATACAGATCAATAAAACAGAATTGAAGATCCAAAAATAAAGTCATATATTTATGGCCAATTGATTTTAGACAAGGAACCAAGGAAATTCAATAAGGGAAAAGACAGTCTTTGCAACAAATGGTTTTAAGATGCGTGGAAGTCCACCTGCAAGCATTTGAATTTAGTCCCTTAATTCATACCATGCACCAAAATTAACTTTAAAATGTTGATAAATTGGACTTCATCACAAGTAAAACTTCTGTGTTTCAAAAGATATCATTAAGAAAGTAAAAGGAGTCACAGATTGGGAGACAATGTTTGCAAATCATATGAAGGATTTATATTCAGAATATATAAAGAATTCTTACAACTCAATTATAAAAATTCCCAATTATAAAATGGACAAAAGACTTTATCAGATGTTTTACAAAAGGAGATATATGAATGACTAACAAGGAAATGGAAGATGCTCAAAATCACTAGTTGTTAGAGAAATGAGAATTAAACTACAGTGAGGTGCCCATTCACACCCATTAAGATGGCTCTTATAAGACAGTCACAAGATTTTGTGAGATTATGGAAAAATTGAAACTCTCTTATACTGCTGGCAGGAATGTAAAATGCTACCGCCTTGAAAAATACTTTAGTTTTTTAATGGTTTCTTTAAAAAGTTAAAGATAAATTTACCATATGTCCCAGAAATATCACTCCTATATCTACCTAACAGAAATTAAGATAAATGTCCACACAAACACTTGTGTCTAAGGTGTTCATAGCAGCATCAGTGAGAGTGACCTAAAAGTAGAAAAAATAATATGTCCATTAACTGGTAAATGGGTAAACAGAACATTGAATATTCTTATGATAGAATATTATTTGGCAATAAACTGTTACAAAGTTCGGATACATCTTTTATTATGAAAATAGTTCAAAAATATTATGCTAAAGGAAAGAAGCCATATCACTTCCCAAAATCATGTTATATGATTCTATTTACATGAAATATCCCTAAAAGACAAATCAATGGAGACAGAAAATAGATAAGGGTTAGCTGATGACTTGAAGTAAGAAGGGGCAGTTACTGCAAATGGTTATGAAGAATCTTTTGGAGATGATAAAATGTTTTAAAATTGAACCCAGGGCTTCCCAAGTGCTAGGTAGTGCCCTACCACTGAGCCACAACCCCAGCTCTAGCTAAGACTCTTAAGTGAAATAAGTACTACTGTTTAAGCAATTTTAAGTTGAGTGTTCAACCAAATGCATTCTTTTTTTGTTTGATCATTTGTTTTTTTGTGAGTACTGAGGAATGAAGGGTGCTTTACCACTGAGTTATACCTACCCAACCCTTTTTATTTTTTATTTTGAGACAGGGTCTTGCTAAATTGCTAAGGGTCTCACTAAATTGCTCTGGTTGCCCTTGAATTTGGGATCCTCCTGCCTCAACCTCCTGAGTTACTGGGATTTAGGCATATGCCACTGTGCTCAGCCAGCCAAAATTTGTCTAACACATTTCTCAGGCCATACTAATATAGTTTTGAAACAAGAATTACATATTTTAACACTCTTTATCATCAGAGTGATAAGCAGCTATCTTCTGAGCCACACCTTTACCTCTTTTTGTTATTATGGTAGTAGGCGGCCAGCTTTATACTATGGCTACCCCATCCCCCATTCAGATTCAGGGCTGGCGTTTGTGACCAGTAGAATATGGTGAAAATGATGATGCATGACTTCCAAGGGAAGTTCATGGAGGGTGCTGAAACTTCTACCTTGCTCTTGAGGATTACTTCTCTGGAGGAAGCCAGCTGCCATGTTATGGAGACAATGAAGCAGCTTGTGCAGATGCCCACGTGGAGAGGTACCAGTAGCCACCAACAACTTGTCAGTTAGGTGACACAGATCCTCCAGGTCCAAGCCAGGACTCCTGACCAACTCATTCTTCCTAACCCACAGCTATTAGAGATAAAAAAAACATTTATTTTTGTTTTAAGTCACTGAGTTTTGGCTTAATTTATTACACAAAATAGAAAACTAATATAGGTAGCAGTTCTTTTTTGTATTAGGACAAAATTTTTACTCATTTAGTTCTTGATCACAACTACTTTTCTTCTGAATAATCAAGATCCCTCTTGAGGTGTCCTAAATTCATGCTTGAGTTACCCAAACAGGATTCTTATTCCTTGTGAACTGGGGCCGTAGACCCAGATGTTCCAAGTTGTCCTTAGTCTGAAAATAACTATACTCCTTCTTCATCTCTTTCTTCTCTTTATTCTCCATCTTTTATTTTGCACTTACTCAAAAAGTCTCAAGATTTTTCAAAACTAGGTCCTCATTATATTACACCACTCATAGTAGGGGTCAGTAAACTCTGGCCTGCCAGCCAAAGCCAACTTTCTAATTTTGTAAATAAAGTCTTATTGGAACATAGTCAAGTCTGTTTGTTCACAAATTGTCTATGTCTGCTTTTGCTATATAATGGCAGCGTTGAGTGGCAGTAATGGAAACGATAGGGATCACAAAACTTAAATATTTGGCCCTATTTGGCCCTTTATAGAAATAGTTTGTAATCCCAGACTTAGGGTTCCTAATATTCCATATTCTGTACTATTTGCCCAGCGTTTCTACTGTGAAGCCCTAGATATATCCATGTGGCCTTTATTCACCTTCAGAATCTAGGGAGTCTGTTATTTCAAGTTCTTACCTCCTGACTTTTGAGAACCATTAGTACATCACAGTACAACCCACTTCATTTTTTTTTTTCTGATTTGTTCACACTGAAGTTTTAAATTCACATCTGAAGTTGTAGGATGGGGAACATAGTTTTTAATTTTTTCTTTCTTTCTTTTTTCTCTCCCTCCTTCATTTCTTCAAAAACAAAACAATAACAACAACAGAAGGTTGGTGAAATGACAAAACCATTTATATTCATTACTTGTGAGTTGCAAAAGAGATGGGAACGTTTTGGTTTTGGAAGCAGATACACATACACACTCATGTTTACAACACAAAACCAGAGCTAGGCAAGTTTGGCATGGAGATGTCACCTCCTGACACATAATCACAGAGCACTTCTCAGCTCTGGCCCTTCAAAGAGGAAGAGGAACAAGGGTAATTCCAGCTATTACAGGTTCTTGGGCACCAAATGAAACACTCTGCTGTAAATTGTATATAATTAGTGAGGAAGAATTTTATTTCTCTGTGGTTAAGAATGGGGCTTTTCCTTCCTCTTGTCTAGGAGGAAAAGAACTGGTTTAGATCAGTCTGGGGGAGTTTCATTTGGCTGAGATGACCAGAAGTCTCTCTGTATCCTAACAAGGCCCTTGTCCTATAATCAGGATCTGTGTAATGGAAATTCTATGTCTTTTTTCTTATAATAAAATCTCCAGTCTCCCTACCACACAACTTTTGTCCTTAAGACCATGCACATCAACTACAAGATGGTAGAAGTTTTCAGATGGTTGGTAATGATGAATACAGAATACAAACTCCTGTTCATTCTACAGCATTTTCACAACTCTACCCACACAGTCTTGGCCCTCTGGGAGTTCATAATTTTTTAGGGGAGATCAATTATTTATAGAAAAATGCATAATTAGGAGGGTCTGGACCCCAAAGAAGCACAGAGTGGGAGGGATCACCAGATATTGCATATATATATATATATATATATATATATATATATATAATATTATATTTATTTTTATTTATTTATTTTTAAATTTATTTATTTATTTTTTAGTTTTCGGCAGACACAACCTCTTTATTTGTATGTGGTGCTGAGGATCGAACCCGGGTGGCACGCATGCCAGGCGAGCACGCTACCGCTTGAGCCACATCCCCAGCCCTATATATATATATATATATATATTTTTTTTTTTTTGTGCCAAAGCAAGTTGGACAAGTTCCCTCTAAGTTATACTTTTGGAAATGACAACCCTAGGAGTGACTGGTGGTGTCCTACTGGGTGGTGACAATAGTAGTTGGAGATTGGAGTGTTCCTGCTAGTCCAGTTTCTATGCCATATGTTTTTCAACACGTATTCTTAGTTTAGTTCTGCACTGGGTGCGATACTAAGAATAGAGTAATAGACCCACTTTCACCAGGGACAGAGTCTTCTGAAATGGAAACAAGAATTTCACACACAGAACAATTAGAAAACCAGACAGAAGAAAATAGATTTCAAAACTGTTGGAACAGAGAACAGGGAGTTCCTAAGCAGAGGAAGAGAGAAACTTGGTCTGGAGATCAGAGAAGACAGAGTTGAGGTGTGGGGAATATTCTGGAAAGAGAGAAGGGGAAGGGCTAGTGTAGCAGTCCCCACACCCCCTTTCACCCCAACCAAGACTGAAACCCATTTATTCCATCTGTTAGTTAGTTTTCCATTGCAGTGATGGAGAAAATCGACTATGCCTTAGGAAATCAACTTGAAGGAGGAAAAGATTTATTTTGGCTTACGGTTTCAGAGGTTTTAGCATGTGGTCTGCGGGCTCCATCGCTTTTAACCCTGTGACAAAGCAGAACATAATGGCAGGGAGCACACAGTGGGAGAAAACCTGCTCAGTTTACCACAGCCAGGAAGGAGAGAGGGGGAGAGAAGAGACAAAAAGAGAGAGAAAGACAGAGAGAAAGGAATTGGGGACAAGATATAGCTTTCCAGGGCATGCCCCCAGGTACCTACTTCCTCCAACTAAGCTCCTCCTAAATTTATACTATTTCCCAATTGGCCACTGAATTACGGATTCATCAATAAATTATTCCACTGATGAGGTTAAGTCCTCATGATCCAATCAGCCTCCAAAGGCTCTGCCTCTAAACACTACTGTCTTTGGGGATCAAGCCTCCAAGATGGGAACTTCTGTAGGACATTTCAGATCCAAATCATAATATCATCCCTCCTGACCTAGTTCTCATCACCTCACTACCTTTTGTCTTTCCTTTACGCTTTTTTCCCATTTAGCATCTAATGCCAATTTTTTATATTTCATTCTGAGTTTATCATCTATCTCTATTAGTTGATCCCTCTCACATAATTCTATTAATTTGTCATTATATTTCTATCTCTATAATGTTTTCATTATGTGATCTAATTCTCAATCTCTTTTTACTATCTCTCTCTCTCCATCTGTCTGCCTATTTCCTAAAATCTATTTTGATCCCTATTTATCATCATTTATGTTTTTACTTCCCTTTTTATATCTACTCTTTTCTTCTTTTATGTCCAAATGATATTTACCTTAAATTTTCTCTGTTTGCAGATGACATGTTCTTATATAGGAAAACCTTAACGATTCTATCAAAAAATTATTACAACAAGTGAATTCAGTAAAGTTGTAGGGTACAAAATCAATAATAAAAATCAATAGCATTTCTATTTACTCATTATGAACTATCCAATAAAAGTAATAAAGAAAATAATCCCACTAATAATAGCATAACAATTAAATATTTAGGAATAAATTTATCCAAATAATTGAAAGATCTGAATACTAAAAACTATAAAACATTGAAAAGAACCTGAAGAACACAAATAAATGGAAGATATCCTGTGTTTATGAATTGTAAGAATATCATTAAAATGTTTGCACTACCCAAAGTGATCTACAGATCCAACAATTTCAATCCAATCCCTATTGAATTCCAATGGCATTTTCTACAGATAAAAAAGAATTCTAAAATTCATTTGGAACTATAGAAATCCTAAATAGCCAAAGCCATTTTGAGCAAAAAGAACAAAGCTGGAGGTATCATAATTCTTGATCACAAAATCTAATATAAAGTCATAGTAATCAAAACAGTATGGTATTAACATTTACATGTGCAAATACACATACACACACACACACACACACACACACACACACATGTAGACTTAAAAATCAATGGAATACAATAGCCCAGAAATAAATCCACATGTCTATTATGAATTGTTCTTCAACAGAGGTGCTATGAACATACAACAAGGAAAGGGCAGTCTTTTTAATAAAGGGTGTTGGGAAAACGGGATGTTCATATGTGAAAGAATGAAATTTGACCCTTACCCAACCTATATTCAAACATCAACTAAAAACAGATTAGAGACTTTCATAAATGTAAGACCTGAAAGTAAAAATAATAGAAGAAAGCAAGGCAAAAGCTTTTTTTTTTTTTTTATGGTGGTGGTGGTGGTGGAGAACTTCTTAAAATTGGTTCTGGAAAAGATTTGTTTGGCTATGACCCCACAGCAAAAATGACAAAAGCAAAAATAGACAAATGTGATCATATCAAATTATAAAGCTTATGTATAGCATAGGAAACATTCTACAGAGTGAAGATGCAACCTAAAGAACAAGAAAACATATATGGAAACCATCTATCTGACAAGGGTAGGTTAATAACCCTGAAACATAAGGAATTCAACTCCATAGCAAGAAAACAAATAATCTGATTTAAAAATGGGCCAAGTAACTGAAGAGACATTTCTCAAAAAAAGACATACAAATGATCAACAAGTATATTTTAAAATGCTCAACATCATTAATAATTAGAGAAATACAAATTAAAAACCACAATAAGATGTTACCTCACACCTTTTAAAATGGCTATTATCAAATAAGGTGACTGATTCATATTTGGGTAGGGAAAAGGAGCATGGGAGGAATTGATGAAGTCTAGGTAGGGCAGAGTGCGGGGAGGGAAAGGAATGGGGCAAGGGGCTAGCAATGATGGAGGAATGTGATGGACATCATTATCCAAAGTACATGTGTGAAGACATGAATTGGTGTGAACATACTTTATATACAGAGTATGAGAAATTGTTCTATATGTGTAATAAGAACTGTGTTGCATTTCACTGACATGTATTTAAAAAATAAAACCAATAAAAATAAATAATAAAAATAAAATGGCTATTATCAGAAAGACAAATAAAAACAAGTGCTGATGTAGATGCAGAGAAAAGACAACCCTTGCACATAGTGGGTGGAAATGTTAATTATTAAAGCCATATGGGAAATAAGATGGAGGTTCCTAAAAAAAATAGAACTATCATATGACAAACAATTCTGTTTCTGGATATAGATCCAAATAATATCAGTATTGTGAAGAGATCTACACTCTTATGTTCATTGTAGCATTTTTCACAATAGCTGAAATATGGAATCAACCTAAGTGTCCATCTATGATACATGGATATAAAAATATGATATGGATATACATATATATGCATATATACACACATACACTGAGATGTGTGTGTGTGTGTGTGTGTGTATGTATGTATCTAAGAAAGAAGATATTCCTGTATTTTGCGTGTGAGCCTGGAAGGCATCATAAAAGTGAAATAAACTAGAAAGACAAATACTGCAAGATCCCATTTATATATATAATTTATATATATAAAAACATGTTGCATTCATAGAAATAGCAAAATGGTGGTTTTCAGGGTCTAAAGGTGAAGGAAGGATTAGGGAGATGTTGAAGAAAGGAGACAAATTTTGAGTTAGACAGAAGTAATAAGATCAGGAGATCTGATGATTATAATTAATAAAAATGCATTTTGGGGCTTGGGATGAAGCTCAATGGTAGAGCTCATACCTAGCATGCACAAGTCCGTGGCACAGTTTTTTTTTTAAAAAAAGAAAGCATTGTATACTTGAAATTTGCTTAGAAAGTAGATTTTAAATGTTCTCATCACAAAAAAAGGAGAATATGTGAAGTAACAGATAAGTAAATTAGCTTGATTTAGTCTTTCCACATGTATACTATACCAAACCATCATGTTGTACACCATAAATGTAAAATATTTTGTCAATAAAAACAATTTTTAAAGTTTTTCATCCTTAATATTCTCCCTTTTATTCTACTTTTTCTTCTTCATTCCTCCTTAT